ACCCAAAGGCCTATTATGAAAAAAAAAGCGCGTTAAGCATCGACCAATAAAAGTATTCGCGACCTCCCCCGAAATATCCGAGTTCGATTTGAACCCTCTGTTGCTGTGCGGGTGTACATCGGAATTTGCCGGGTGGTTGCGGGCACGCGTCCCTGAAACACCCAGTCGATCGGTGCCAAGGTGTCCGACGACTTACTAATTGCGTGTTAAAATTTACTTGACATCGCTCAACCTTCGTCGATGTCCAATACACCGAGAGCTACCTTAGCTGCTCGTTTGTTGTCGTACACAATAAACACTGAGAGATCTCATGTAGTTGGTCATTGTCCACGATTTACTCGGAAACGTTCACGTTTACGTAGTTTCTCAGGTGGTCCTCTGCTTACAACCTTGTCACAGATAACCCCAATAGCGAAGTATTGAAACTTTCGCGGGAATGGGGACGCGCCTTGTCACCGCCGACTGTAGCAGCTTTGTTTAATTAATGAATCGTCGCCCGTTATTTTCTTTCATGAATGTTCGGCCAGACTGAGTGATCGATTACAGAATGTTTCACGTAACGGTTGATCTTTACAACTACATTTGCGTGTACAAGCTAACTCTTTCAACGTAAAAAAGAAACGCTTTCAGGTCAATAGGACAAATGACAAAATATACCTAATACTGAAATTAAAAAAAATCGAAAAAGCATAAAAAATTCAGCAATAAATGAAACTCCAAATAGGTAATCAAAGAAACAGAATATACACCTGTCATATTCACGGCACTAATGATGAGACAAATACATAGTTAATTTGCTTAGTACAACAGGCGTGTCGGTGCCGCTGAGTGGGTTAAAAACCAAGTCCTACATGTATAACGTAAGTTAACGGTGTTTACTGTGAAATGTATGTCACGCCCATAACCCGTCTGATAATAAAGTGTTTCAAGGAGACGATTAAGTAACTATATGACTTATTACACACTCGCGTGCACTATCCAATGCGAACACTTGAATTTTATCTCCATCTACATAAGAACTAATTTCCAATCTCTCTTCTTAGCTTACACGAATCTCTTTTTGTCGGTGACTTCAGCGTCTGAATGTCAATCATTTATACCTACTTTCCTAAAATTAACGATACGTAAAGTCATTGCGTAAGTGATCAATGGTCATGTAAATTCGTAGCATTTTCTTATGAAACACACTAAAATTATAATGACAAGATCAAAAAACAAGACAAATATTACAAAGTTACAACAGTAATTAAATATCCAAATTCAACACCATAATTTTCTGCGGTGTGCACAAGGTAAATTGAAACAAATTGTAGCTTTCATTATCATATGGTGGAATAAATAACGTGTTATTATAACAGATAGATAACACAAAAACCACCGGTAAGGTTTCAATAATTAAGTTGAGCCGTGTAGACTACCAGTCCGCTTACCATGGGGCCTTATTATAAAACAATCGATTATTTCCCCCCACATATTGAATATTTTCATATTGAATGAGATGATATCATATCAGTGTATATGTCCTCACAAGAACACAGGTCTTATAGACTGCTGACATGTGTTGTCTAGAGGCCAACTACATTATTACGAAAAAAAAAAGATTTTTATCTTAATTATGACGCGATAAGCTCACAGCACCTGCGTATCCTTCTCACAATACGAATAATTATTATATTTCACGTGAAGAAATTAACATTTGAAAACACGATTTTATTTCACCCCCGAAATAATGTCTTCATTCAATTTCGTGAGAAATATCATTTGTCGTCCCTTAATTAATTTCTAAGTTTGTTGGATATTATTGTGCTGCCACTCGCCGCTAATTTTGGATTTTTGTCTCTCAGACAAGGAGAACTTGGCTCCCTTAATTTACATACAATGCTAACTAATTAAGTACTATTATTCATTTTGAAACGTCTGAAAAGAAAAATTAGACGTATCGAATAATTCAGTCGGCGTATTTTTAATACGTATCTATGTAAATCGTAGTAAATAATGCGTTTTTATGTAATGTTACCTTACACGTGGCGTAGCGATTGCCTTGTTCTATAATTATGTGTCATTGTGTGTTACAATGTTAGGGATCTCGGTAGAAGGAAATAGATACGTAGATACGTCAATATAAGGACAATCAAAAATTACTGTAACACTCTGAATTCTAACATCTCTAACACTTTTCTCGTTTACATGTAAGCGGCTTTTAGCTGAATGAGGTTCAACCATTTCAGTGCTTAATTGACAGGTCGGTAGCCCATCTCTTATCTGTTCATTGCTGCAGATTGACCTATTTCCTTCAAGCTGCTATTGTATCTATTATTATTGTCTGACTCGCACTTGTCTGGTTTTTCTCTCTTAAATAACAATCCCCGTTTAGTAATTGGATTGTGTCAGGGACGATCGGGCCCAACACCGCCTTCCACATAAGACTAGTGTTCTGTCCCTAAGTCAAATTATATCAACGCGTTAAAACATACTATTTTACCAGGTAAATATTGTATTGCCTCGTGTAGTCTGTAGTGTAACGGTTACCTTGAAACTGACTATTGTTGCTTACTATAAAATTGAGGAATTGTTTTTTTTATAATTGCTGAAACACGGAAATTTAGAAACGTTGTAAAACTGTAATAGCTTGTCTTCTAAATGTTACACAATAATTATCTAAGTACTAAAGAGGAACTAATCAGTATTAGTTCCCAGTGCTAGTTAGAACGAGTGTAAGTAGAAGACATCACAATACATACTCTCCCATACATCTGATAGCACGGTACTCGGATGTACGGTGCAGTGCAGTGCAGGTAATCACGTTTGTACGGTTACCGGCAATTAGCCGCCTGTGTTTTCTAGTTGGCCGTCTCGTCTAACTGCTGCCGACCTATGTGGCTGTTTGGGATTAGAAATAGAAAAAAAAGAAAACATTTCTAAGCTCATGACATCCTCAATTAAACGATAAGTGTATTGTCGTCTTACTGTTACACTGATATTTATTTGTTGCAAAGAATATAGTCGAGAACATCGGCGACCAATGTTAATAGTGTTGATTTTACGATGATTACTTAGTTGCTAATATAAATGTTATCTCGGCGTTTCCCTAATAAAATAAGTCTATTAGTGGTGGTGTAAAAGGAATGAAACTGGGGTGGTAAACAGAGCCATCCTCGTTTAGTGCCTCTACAGTGAGCGTTAATCTCGTTTTTCGCAATTAGTTGGCGGCTGCCTCTATTGCCCACCCCGGTGGGGGTAAATACGCTTCATCTTTTTAACTTTTTTGTTTTATATTTCTTTTTAAACAAAGTGTTTTTATGTCGGCCACTGCTTGGCTGTGTTTCATAGGTTTTGCTCGATTTACACAGTACGTACCCTGTCATTGAGAAACTGGTTTCAGTCCAGTATTACTTTTAAACGTATCTAAAACATTAAAGAAGATGTAATTTTGTATTTTAAAATCAAATTCCGTAAATGTTAACTAAACCATTGAGACATGGAGAGTATTTAAAAATAATAACTACAAGTTTGGTGGAAAAGTTAAAGTAATAATTTATAGCGGGTTCGACAAACTATTGTATTATGTACTCGAGTGCGGGTCACCTTCAGGTCATTGATGTCACCTTGTTTCCGAAACTTGATTGGCAACAGTTATCGCACACACAAACTTACTGACTTTCATTCATCATTGTTGTTTCTGCGTTTCGTTTTCATTCTTAACTTCGCGTTTGTGAATAATATCACCGAGAGAAATCGCATTTCAGTTGGGTAACAGCGCAGAGATATTATTACCCGTGTGTACCAGAAACAAAAAGTAATATGATTTTCTACCTTATTATGCGAAAATATAAATTATTTCTTATATATAAGAGTGTTATTACTTCATATTTGCCTCGAAATATCCTTCAGTCAAGTAGGTGATTAACGTTACTTGTGTATTCATTCTCACAGTCGGTGCATGCAAGGCCGCTTACCCGACGAATGAATCAGCTGATGCCAGTCACTGATTCACTGCGCCGCTGCCTCACCGCACCTTGCATTGTCTAACAGCTGACTTTGATGTACCTTTACTAATATAGACATTTTGCATTCAGATTTTCAACTCCCAGCTCCTTATATGACTTTTCTAACGCGTTGCTTGTCTAGACATACACTTTGTCTAGTCTTAAAATGGCGGTGTGGTCAACGGAGCGAATTGTTTTGGAAATTCTTTAGTACCCTCTAAAGCTTATTCAGTAATAAAACAACAATATATGATACCTTCTTGTACGCCCGGAAACATATTGATATGTGGTTGTTGACGGTCATATCTATTAAATTATGTAATTTATAAATAATATTACATTTAAAGTACAAACATAGTTTATTCAGAAAACAAACAAACGATTATGTCGTTGTAAATGGTCGCAACAAATATCGCAATACAGTTCCGTCCAGTGTTAAATACGAAAATAGGTTTGACCTAGCTGTTGTAATCGCGTGGGATTGCGGATGTATCACACAGGCTTACCCAGCCGGAAAAAACTGGATACACCAATGCTCTTTCCATTATAATGATGACTGAAAAATGCATGTTGTTGTTATATAATTCACCTATTTGTCGTATAAACTCATATAATGGTTGTACAAAGTCAGTTAATGAAGGGGTTGCAAATTCTGTTGAAGCGTAATTCGAGTCGAGATTTAAGGACAGTAAAACAATGGGTTTCCCATTCCTATTCGCAGTGGCGACGCTCAATGAGTCAGCTGATGTAGCAATGGCCTCAAGTGAGTCATTGCTGATCTCAAGCAGATACGAATGTGCGTTGGATACGGCATGGCGACTGAGCTGTCATCTGTCCAGTGAAAGCTGTATACGACGAAATTATTTAAGTTGCAGACTATAAAGCCTGCATAAATACGTCTTGATTGACAAGCTTACCAAATGTGACATCGTTGTGAAGAAACGTTGCTTCATTACAATATGCCATCATGTAGCACAGTTTGTTAAAAGCAATCATTAATTGAATGCAGTGAATTCGTTTTTTGTTAGATAAAAAATGTAGTTAGTAGGAGAATTAGTTAAATGTATAGTTGAAATGTTTGTCGCATCCATTTTAGAGTCCATTTCAGACATCATCGTCCGCAACAGGCTAATGCGTCCGCAGATTTTGTAGCGTCCTTGTCATTAGCGATGTACTTGAAACGATTATATGTCCGACCCGAATGATTGCCTCGTTAATTTCCTAACTTGCGTGTCACTAAGTTTTTTCGCGTCTGCTAAATCTTGCAATTATTTAATGTTAGAGGTGACAGGAGACAGGAAGTCAATGATTTGTTCGCATTAACAACGAACCAAGTATCACCATGGACAATTGTTAAGATTGTAAATGATGTAACGATCAAGAACTGTTTCGATAAACAATCGTTTCTATGAGATGTGGGCTTACGCAAGTTTGACGTAATTGACGGACGCGGCATGAGTGCGGTGTGACGTAGAGAGTCGCGGGCGCCACTGCCGATAACCACCCACTCTCATTTTCGCGCTGACGTCGCCCGTGATAACTTGATGATTCGCGTTTTGTGCACTTAACTAGATTAGTGCTATAGTGTGTGGATCAACGGACATTGCACCTGCCTCTCGTACGACGCCTACGTAGGACGATTCTCAGTAAATATACATGCCAAACAATTCTGAGAAGATTCGTATATCTGATTTAATTTGCTTATATGGCTGCTGATTTGCGATCATGAAATTCACAAGACTTATTTATTCCGCTCCGTCCGCTCAAAGTCAAGTACAGAACTAATCGGGGAAAATTCATTTATCTGTTTAATGTTTGTATAAACATCCGTTACTTGCGATATGTAGAGATCACCTTTGCTAGTTGGCGGTCGGAGCGATGCCCGATAATCACTGCGTTACTGCGTTTATAGGTATGCAATACATGTAAGATAATTATAGACATTGATAACACCACATCTTACAAGTTGAGGAATAACGAATGTCTCATAAATTCCAAATTTTAAATTCAAGCAGAGGTAATAGTTAACAGATTCAAATTGGGTGTAGTCCTAATACAAACAGGAAAATGTCTATCAAATCAACCCAGAGCTTCCTCGTGGACGAAGTGTATACAAAATAATGGGAGGTTTTTTTATTATAGGATTGTTACACAAATGGAATCGTGAAACTTATCCTCATAATTACGTTTGTAGTTCGACTAACTGGTTTTTACCAATTTCGATAACTGTCAATTAGCATTCTATGCCGACAACAACGTCTGCATCCGCCTTGTATGTATTTAATATTATCGAATTATTTAGTTGGCAACAAAACAATTTATGTGCAGCCTGGCATCCGGTAGGTGTCATTATTACCCGGCACTAGCTCAACTCAATTACCGTTTGACATTTAAACCCAAAGGGCGTATTGTTTGAGCGCCCTATCCATTTGGTAAGTAAACAGACACAGTACTATTGCTCACTCCTGTTAAGAATTACTTCTGAAGATGTTTTTGTATCATTATTTTAATTATTCCGACTTCGTTCCGGTGTAAGTTCGTTACCGGCGAAGGACATACGGAAGGAGTAGCAACATTAAGGAAATCATCAATCCAAATTGGGTACAGGTTTTAGTTCTATGGTCGATTGAACTATTAGTTATTGTGTTTTTAATCTTAGTACTGCGAATGGGTTTGTGTGAACAATGCTACACATGGCCAAACATCCGGTCAGTTATCGCGCGAAAGTTCGATAGAAATGTGGCACGCACTAATCTTTTATGAATGGATTTAGTTACTTTTTTATTTGTGTTCGCGTTTCCTCTAACTTTAGCGTTCTTTTTTTAACGCAGCATTTCGTTTTCATCGGAAAATTTTGCTCACCAGTATCAGTCTCAGTTAGATAACAATGACATTCAATGAAGATTTGAATTTCATTCAGTAATTGCCTATACGATAAAATAATCAAAAACCGTAAACAACATCTTTTAGTTACTGTACACATATCATTATCGTATTGTTGTTACCGTAATTCGCAATCTTTAACTCATTAGTTATTACTGCTGTATTAATTTACAAATATTTATCGTTAGTGATCCTACATATGTATGTTACAGAACGACTATCCATATTATCACTTTATCAGTCACACAAATCTATATTATGTATCATAACAAGTGGCTTCTTGTTGTTGGCAAATCCTTTGTCGCCAAGCACCTCGGTTCCGACATGCCATTTAACAGAGCCAATAAAATGTCTGCGTCACACAATAGATTAATGACATTGTCGGAAGCGCGGTTCTAGATCTTGCGAATCTAGTCTGTTACCAAGCGAGGCGGCCGGATGAATGGCAGTCTCCATGCGCGTGAGTGGATTGCGCAACGGCCGGTGACGCAACCTGTCGCGCCTGCGCGAGACCGTTGCTTGTTAGTATGCAAAATAAGTGAAATATTCGTGTCGGCCAGCCATGGCATGTGCTTACGGTTTCGCTCCCTAGATGTGCGTGTAATTGTTTCAGCTTGAATTTCATTGTCGTTTAAGGTCACCTGATTTTCCTTTTCTTTTTCGAAGTTTCATTGTTTTAAAATGACTGTTAGTTAGCGGTACGCAATAACAACATTAATATTAATATTCTCGAGTTATTGTATGTTTAGCTCTAACTGAACCCAAACGCAGTACGTCACAAATCCACACACAACGGCATATGACTGTGTCTTTGTGCTATTTCAAAGCATGTGTCCACAAATATTTACCTTGATGTTGTTAAACTTTTCGCCCACATATTATGATCGTATCGTATCATTCATTCCTTCGTAAAAGCTTTCTTTTATAGCTTCGACATAGCCAAACACCTATAATTTAAAAAAATAATCTTTTGTTATTCTGAATTAATTAGGTGTATTGTCATTTAATTATCTTAGTTGGAATGTAATTTGTATGTTAATTAGCGTTGCGTGGGGCTGAATAGTTAGCTCCAATAAAGTTGTGGTACAATATGTTACGGGAACCCTACAATAAGCTAGTGGACGTTTGGTGACTGTAGTACAGGCGCCGCTTGTGATACTAGATGGCTGTGAAAACTTTGCTCATTAGCTGCTCCGCTATTATGATGGATTTCGGGTCGCGATACCCGCGATGCACACCAAAGGTTTCGGCTTTCGGCTCGCAGCCAATTTCATTGGTCAATTGTTGCGTTGATACTTTGAACATCCAACAATACCAGGTGCCCTAATTACTCCATTTTATGACTGTCCTCACAGAAGATGCCTTTCTACATTGATCTAGTTTAATAGGTTCTTTAACGAAATTGAAGTTTACGAGTTTATTTATACGTTTTCCTTTTTATTGGCCTTTAAATATTTTATCATTCATCACTCCTTTTTCGGTTCTTACATCAATGAAGAAGTAAGTTTTGGAGTGCGTAAAAGGTTGTCGAAAGATGGCCACACATCGTCAGCTGCGAGAAAGTTAGTTAAGCCGTTACTTTACGTGTCCTCGTCACGTTAACTCATGTTCACTGACAGTTTTACGCTTCAACAAACTATATGTTGTTGTTAGGGCTCACGTTTTCGCTTACTTTCGTTAGGAACAAAATTCTAAGGAACACTTCTTAGAGTTTAAAAAAAATCCTTGCTTATACAACTTATTGGTTTTTTATAAGTCGGTTTACCCACGAACACAAAGGATTAGATTATAGTCCAGTCAGTGGCATGGACAGCGGTATTTGACAGTTGAGAAAAGATTTTGCAGGAGGTAGCCCTATTTATGAGCCACTTGTGAAATAAGCCAGGTAGATACCTAACATTCTAATCGATTTGTGTTTTTGTACATATTTGTAGCAAATGTAAACATTTCTGAGGAATTTAACACCTTATTTCACATCACATCTATCATCGGACGAGCATTAATAAAAATACCGTGTGTTATCGCTTAGGGCAAAAATAAATAAATATAGTCTGTGAAGTTGTAATAAAAACAAGTTTAATAACCTCATGGTCGTTGCCGTTTTTGGGGCCAGGTAACAGATCATAAACATCTGCGAAATGGCGACAAATCAGCGCACCATAAAGTATTACCTGGCAGTCTGGCACAAAAAGGAACCTTGAATACAAAACATCTATTCCACCTCCCTTAGCGTATTCAAAAGGTCACTTTATTTGATATACGACGTAACTACCAGGAAAAAATCTGCGCCAAATGGCTTGCCATAACACAAAAATATTGCAAAGGAGACCGATGCATTCCGGGAACTGCATTGAAGCGCAGTGTATAGGATGGGCGATCCAACTATCTGGCGAAACGCCACGCGGTATTGTGTCTTGCGTCGCTTTGTGTTGAGCCGATATTCGGCTGCCAGCGAGAAGACGCACGATGGGGCGTTGGCCTGTTGAGAATGTTTGCCGCTGACCTAAGTGGTCAATAATGATCTGTTATACAGTTTATACTACGTATTTTCTTTACTGTTTCTCGATAATACGAGAAGAAATATTATTTTTAAGTGATCGCTTTACTTTGATGTAGCGATAGCGTCATAGCGTTGAATTTTTTTATCATTATTATGTCAAAACGAAGCTAATATTCATACCGCTTTGTGTAATTAAAACGGCATCGCAAGTGAACTTCATTATGAGACTTAATCAGTGCACAGCAAACAGTTACCTCAGGTACCTACTGAAAAGCGACTACGTAAAATAATAGTTTCGCTTCTATGAGCTTATTCTGAACTGAATGCGCCAACATTGTCTTCAATTAATTCTGTTCTAGTAATTAACGTAGAAATAAATGGCTGTAGGCAATTAACAAAAAAAAAAATACATCTACGTTGATATCTTAATAAAATTTTACGCGGAATCTGTTCGAGTACGCTGTAATTAAATATGCACTCGAAATGCTGTAGCAGTTTTGTCATCGTCTGTACGTGGGTGTGCAGCGCGTCCTAGATTGTCCGTGCTGGGTGGTCGGCCGGTCGACGTAGGATTGTTCTCGATTCGCCACTTTTTACCTGTTCCTCGATGAAAACGCCCAGCTGAGATTGCTTTTAAAATTTAAAACTTGGAATATTTTTACTTTTTTCGGGACCGATTAACCCTGCCAACCAGTCTGTATCGGTATTGCAAATTAAAATAGAGCATTGAATCATTAAATTCGATTTGGCGGCTCCTAACTTGTGCGGGCAAGCTTATGTGTGAACCAGGTAAATTGTAATGTTAAACCAGGATAGTGGTTGCCAGCATTGTCCTATTGTTCTTCTAATCATCTAATGCATAATCTGGACATATTTTCGTTGTTAGTTTTTTTAAAGGAAAACTGATACAGATAACTATGAATGTTGCCAACAATAGAGGTAAATAAGCTTAGCTATTTTTTCGTAATAAACACAAAATACTTATGTAATAATGACCTAAATCATTGATAACATCGCATTATGCAGATTTACACGGTTATAACTTTGTCAAAACAACAAACACCCACCGCTAACTTTACAAGGACGTTTCAGACAGAAAAGGATAACAGATTCAAGTCAGAAATAATTTTACCCTCTCTATATTTAGATGAATTATGTAAACGAAAATAATGATACTTATTTATTTATTTTATACAACTTAATATTATTATTCCTCATTAATGTTGAAAAAAGTATCTCTCCAAGGAT